TCGCGGCCGCTCTGGGCGCGAGACACGGCGTGTGCCGCACCTTGCGTGCCTCGGTCTCTCTCCGCGCGAAAGGAGAGCGCTGGATTGGTAGCCGTGAGGTTGTTCTAAGACAGACAGGGACCTCAACGGCACAGCACAGCAGCAGCAGCGCACCCCAAATAAACCGATTTCACCTTTTTTCTTGTGTACCGCAGAGCCGGTTGCGGCGCCACCCCCGCAGACTCACCGCGCAATGACCGCGGCCGCTCTGGGCGCTAGACGCGGCGGGCAGTGTCTTTTGTGCCTCGGTCTCCCTCGACGCGAAAGGAAAAAGCACTGGATTGATTCGTAGCCGTGAGGTTTCTATACAGACAGACAACGATTTGACCTATTATTCTTTGTGTAGCGCAGCCGGTTGCTCCGCCACCTCCGCACGCACACTGCGCCACCGTCGCGGCCGCGCTGCGCGCTGGGCGCGAGACACGGCGCGCAGCACCTTGTGTGCCTTGGTCTCCCTCCTCGCGAAAGAGCCGGAGGCTGAAACATCGAACAGCGCGTTTTTGAAAAGGGACGACAACAACAACGACGACGACGACGACGACGACGACGACGACGACGACGACGACAACAACGGCCTACAAAGTTTTGTTACAGATTAAGCGCCATCGTTCCGAGGATCGTTCCTGGCAGTCTCGCTGTAACCCAAGATATAACAGCGGAGGGAGGCTCGTTTCGTGGAAATTTTTGCCAACTTTTCGATTAAGGAATAATAAAAACACACACAGAAAGACTACCCATTCGAGATATACCCACAGTCGAACGGGATGTGGTGGAGTCTTTTCAGTGAGTGGAGGGAAACCGGCTGGGTACTGGACTTATTTCGAGTCTTTTTAAGTCTTTTTCGATTAAGCAACTTTGTTCGAAACAACACATCAGGCACCACACACAACACATCATCACGCACCACCCACACGCCTACACACAGTCTGCAAGAACATGTCCAGCGGTCGCCCAAATAAAACCAAGCGCCCAGCGCAAAGGCCCTGGAGTTGGCGCGCCACCAGCACAAAAGGGGGGAGGCTGCACGGTCAGAAAACCAAGTTGGAGTTGGTTGTTGCGCGGCTTTAGGTCAGCAACACGCGCCCGTCACACACAGGTTGAGGCCAGGGGGAAGAAGATCGCCGGAACGAACCGCGGCAACCAATGACGTAGTGGAGGTGGCAGCACCGCCAGCAAAGGGCAGAGAGGAGGAAGAGCACGCAGTTGCCTTCTGGTGACGCGCCGCAAGAGTATTCTCTGCTTCTACTAGAGAGAGCGTGTGTGACTTCGATGTATGTGCTCCCGCCCCCCCAAAAAACACCCTCTCCCCAACGCTTGAAATGCGATACACAGCACTTCGTACAGGGCTGCCGGCCAGTATGTGTACTTCCTGTCGCTGTACTGGTGCGAGTTCGTGTGCTGCGGTTGTTGAGGGGGCGACACAGACACGCACACGCATGCATGGACGCACGCTCAACAGCAGTGGGAGCGCTGTGATCAGGGTGCAGCTGTCACCCACCACAACAAACAGCAGTACCTGCGAACAGGGAAGTTCGTTGGGTGACTGTTTTCCCACAGCCAATCACATGAAGCCGCCTTCAATCGGAAAATATTCACCTGCAGGAAGTTTCCAGGAACATTTCTTATCTGTTTCCTTATAGACTACTAATTTTTCGGCCCGAAACATTCCGAGAACGACCCAGTCGCAGGCTATTTCAACGGTCCCCAGCGATGCCGGTTCGCAAAACAAAATTTGCCTCTTTTATAAATTCTCCAAATATAAAAAAGACATACTGTTTGTACTACAGTACACACAGCTCTAGTCTACATCGACTAATAGTCACCGGTACCTCCATACATACATACATACATATGCATATACACACCGGCACACCCTGTCTGTGTACAGCACAACCAACCTCCTCCGATGGCAAAGCAACTGCTGTGTATATGCTCAAGTAGAGCATGTCGGGAAGCTGGTGGCATGGCCAGCCTTACCCTACCGTCGGATGACCGGAGGGCGAGATGGCTGAGATCAGATGTTTATTTTGGCGGCCGAACAGAACTACACGAAGCTTGGCGGGCGGGCGTCTCTCGTTCATGTCTCCCCAAGACCACCAATTGAAAATAAAATCAACAAGCAAGCCGAAACAGGGCAGTGGCGGTTGCCCTCCGTTTGTTCGTGGACGCAAGGAAGGGTGCTGTCCCAGATCAGACGGACGGGCAGACAAGGGAGGCGACAGCAGGAGCCTTGGGGAAGTTTCGGAAGACCGAAGCTCCGGCCGAAGCTCGGTGTGCTGCCTGGGAGAACGAAGCCTCGAGGCAAGGAGCTGGGGCATCGGACTTGTTTGATAAATTGCGGGTGTAGGACGAAGGACGATGTCATCTCTTCACTGAGAATAATTTAAATGTTGTTGCTGGTGCGAGGTATGGTGAGAACGACGGCAGGCAGGCGTGTGGAAGGCACAGAGTCGGGGGGGGGGGCAGGCGGGAGGGGAGATTCAACCACACGATCCTCCCCCTGAAGCGGTTGCAGCAAAGCGCAGCGCGTAGTATCTGTGGTCCCGTAAGAGCACCGTCGCTTCTGGATCGTGTCCGTGCGTAACCTAGAGGGGCTCGCCGCGTCCGGGAGTGTGTTCGACAACGCTACCGTCGCTTGTGATGTGGGTGGCGAACATTATTGAAGCGAAACAAGTAACAACGTCACTTCGGAGTGAAGAGATGACATCGTCCTTCGTCCTACAGCCGCAATTTATCAAGCAAGTCCGATGCCCCAGCTCCTTGCCTCGAGGCTTCGTTCCCAGGCAGCACACCGAGCTTCGGCCGGAGCTTCGGCCTTCCGAAACTTCCCCAAGGCTCCTCCTGCTGTCGCCTCCCTTGTCTGCCCGTCCGTCTGATCTGGGACTGACAGCACCCTTCCTTGCGTCCGCGAACAAACGGAGGGCAACCGCCACTGCCTTGATTCGGCTTGTTGCTTTTCATTTGGTGGTCTTGGGGAGACATGAACGAGAGACGCCCGCCCGCCAAGCTTCGTGTAGTTCTGTTCGGCCGCCAAAATAAACATCTCAGCCATCTCGCCCTCCGGTCATCCGACGGTAGGGTAAGGCTGGCCATGCCACCAGCTTCCCGACATGCTCTACTTGAGCATATACACAGCAGTTGCTTTGCCATCGGAGGAGGTTGGTTGTTGTGCTGTACACAGGGTATGTATGTATGCCGGTGTGTATATGCATATGTATGTATGTATGTATGGAGGTACCGGTGACTATTAGTCGATGTAGACTAGAGCTGTGTGTACTGTAGTACAAACAGTATGTCTTTTTTAAAATTTGGAGAATTTATGAAAGAGGCAAATTTTGTTTTGCGAACCGGCATCGCTGGGGACAGCTGAAATAGCCTGCGACTGGGTCGTTCTCGGAATGTTTCGGGCCGAAAAATTAGTAGTCAGCAAATTTGGAGCCCCAGTCCGAAACTAACTGTGTATTCATCGTTTTTTAGTTCGTTTTTCTTTCGTTTTATGCATAATTTTCGATATGTTCAAACAGCATCGTCATCGTGTGAGAGCGCGCAGCCAGGTCTGTTACTACACCGCGGTTGTTGTGCTTTCGCATCCGGGGGGTGTTGTGCAATGACGGGTGTATTTCTTCACGTTTCCAACAGCAAGACTCCCATTTTCCATCACACCCACATTTTTCATTTATTTGCGAGAGAGAGAATTTCCAACGGCAAGAAGAGCACATTTTACGACGACTCTCAGGCATTGCTGTTGTGTTTTAGCCGCTGGACGGGTGTGTGTGCGGGTGTGCATCGTGTATCAGCAGATCAGCAGATCAAAAGTGCGCAGCTTGTTAGCTTCTGAAATTCCAAGCCGCGCGTCCGGACCAATGTCCGGACACGGGCATTTTTTCAGGTGATGGGACGCACAACCACTCAGGACCGGAGTTTGCAATCCATTCGGAAATTTGCCTCTATCCCGATGAAATCATCAGGACACCAACAAACAGGCAATATCATCATCACAAACTCTCGCGAGGCCTTTTTTAGTGGCTAATGCGGCATCGTCACTCTACCGCATCCAAACGGGGTGCACGACACGCACGCATGACATCAGGAAACCAGGAAGCTCGAGTTTGCAAATAATCAAATATGTGCCAAATGAGGACTGGAACGGAAGAGAGAGCCCCCGTTCCAAGATCCAAGGCGATATGGAATGAACATTGTGCCGGACAAGCTTCTGATGATCCAGAAGTGACATGTATATGTGGGCGTGTCTTAGAGAGAGCCGAGAGAGATGGAGAGACTGCTGCCGTGAGGTGAACTGCTGTGAATGGGTGGATAGGGACGAGGTTTCTGCGAGCGGGAGAGACAGATGCAGAGACAGACAAACAGGCGCTGAAAATATATGAGAAGAAGCCGAAAACGGAACGGAACGTAAGAGGCATGGAATGTTCCGGACAAACTTGCTGCTGACAAAAATATACTGACCGCATGTAGACTGGAGTATGTATCAGAGAGACTGCTGTGGATAGCTGCCTGGGAATAGATAGGTGGACGGAGCAGAGGTTTCCGCCGGAGACGACGAGACAGAAGCAGAAACGAGAAGCGGAAACGAATGACACCATGGCAGAATAACTCCAACGGATCTCGGAGAGATGGTACAGCTAGCTCTGTGAGAGTGCTGAGAGCCGAAACGGACAGCAACGGAGGGCCCATGAGAAATTTCTGTCTCGAGCAGAGCAAACATTTTACGGCATCTTGTTGGCAAATATACAGTAAGCCAACCTACAAACCTACCCACATACCCCGCATCATCAGTCCCCCTCTCTTTCACTCCACAAATCTTTTGTCGACCCCTCTTTTTTCCCTCCATCTATCTACACCCAGAACCCGCTGGCTGACGGTCGCTGTGTGGACATCATCATCTCTCGCCCGCTGCTGCTGCTCCGGATCCCGACCGACTAGAGCCAGCAGCAGGCGACGTGATGATGCGTGCCTTCGCGTGTCTAGCCGCGCTGGTCGGCATTAAGGTGGTGACGTCGCACCCTCTCTGCTTTTTTGACGACAGACCGACGGACTATAACGAGGTACAGTAATAACTCAAGGTGTTTGCTCATGTATTTTACATGTACTTCAATCTTCGACACAACAATAATCTGTAAGAGAGTACAGAGTGCCCGGTCGAGATCACCACGACCGTACCCACACACGCTGTGCCTGCATAGTATCCGGTGCCAACTGCGACCAGAGTAACTAACTGCTCATGACCACCAAACTTTTTTCCGTTGGCACAACAGGTCTTGACCTTCTGCGACACCTCGATCGCGGCGTACGGCGCTTGCTGCACGGACGATGAGGAAGTCCAAGTGATGAAAGACTTCAGCGGTGTGACGCCGGAAGGGGTGGAGCTCACTGGTGATTGCTCTAATCTCTACAAGGAGGTAGGTGCGGGATGACAAAATCGGATCGTGTTGTCGCGTTAGATATAAATATTTACTCCCCAAACCTGAAAACTAATAATTAATAATATAAACACACCCATATTAGACTATAGATCTTGCCTCCCCTGGCTGGTAAGTAAACAAGGCGTGACAAACTGGATTTGAATGGTAAGTAAACAAGGCGTGACAAGCTGGATTCGTTCCATTTACTCCCATTTACTCCCCAAACCTCAATAATAATAAATAAAAATAAACACACACCCATATCTTAAATTATTTGTATGTACTGCCAACGCGAGGAAAATAAAACATAAGTCTACCCAACGCCCCAATTTTTACAGTAGCATGTTGTGTGCCCATGTGTTTTGTATGCGAACCGACCGAGAAGCAAATAAACGTGTATGCTGTACACTATACATTGCATACATTGGTTTCGCATTTCGCAGCGAGATTGTGGATTCTATCGTCGTCATGTTCGTGAAAATCGGTCCGACAACGTCTCCACAACATCGATGGGTGGGCATCGAAGCCTCTCGTGGTCTCTCCTTCCGGGCCCGTGTGTGATGTCACTTGCGCACCGTCTTGCGTTGAAGGCAAATACGATTTGCCCGTGGCCTGAGATGAAGAACACCAAGGAGCATGTCAGGTTTGCTGTTCGGTGCCAACGCAATCCCCTGCGTCTGTGGGAGCGGGCAGTATTGTTGTGTTGGTTTTTGCTGAGAATATGAACCAGACCACCGCTCACAAAATCCTAATCTTTCGTACAACATTAACCCGAAGGCCGGTGTGGCGATCGTTAGTGGTTGCCGCACCGCTCGTGAACTTCCTGGCCCACTCCTCTTACTTGGTCCATTTCCTTAGTACCACCCACGCCCCACGCAATGACCGCGGACAAAACCTCATCCCCCCCCCCCCCGCGCGCGCTCAGACGAATACTGCACGACACTAGTAAAGCAGTTGGGTGGTGGGTAGCACTGCAGGAAAAGTGGTGCCCTGCGTGACATGAAGGTATATATGGGAATGCCGCGAAACTGTCACAAGAGTAAAGATTCGCGTTTTTGATTTGACCAGCTAGAACTCCAGTTTGCAAGTGGAGGAAAAAACACTCCAGTTTGCAAGTGGAGGAAGAACCACTTGGGCCAGGAAACAGAGGGCGACGTCGGCCAAAGCCGGGGGTTGTAGCTGCGGTTTTCCTCGGGCAGGCGCAACCGATACCGAGGGGGAGACGTTTCGGCTTGACTGCTGTCTTCTCTTGTCTCATTTTTTGTCGTCCATCCCCCTCGTCATTGTGCTTGGTCGGGTGAGAATCCGCGCGTGTTCCGTTCCCCAGCTCTGTAGGGATGCAAGGCCAACGGTCTAACGTCTACGGCATGCACGACTATGAGTACCCCCGCCTCGTCCTTGTACATGGGTTAGACTGACTGAGTGGTGCTCCTCTTGTTCTCTCCGTTCTTTCGTCTGTCTCGGGCGGAAGCGAAAAGAGACATGTTTTGGGTTCACTGTCTCCTGCCTCCTTTCTTTCGTTCTCCCTCGCCGTACTTGTAACATTCGGTCGGTTGACTGGCTGACGTGTTGTCACTGGTGGTGCTCTTTTTTTATCCCGAAAATCTCTTTCTTGTCTTCGGGCGGACGGACGCGAAACACCAAGGACTGCTGCCCACGTCCGCAAAGAAAGCAAGGATATCACGCAAAAAGACCAGGGAGGGCCACGAAGACCCTATGTAACCATGGAACCTAAACTTCCTGCGTCGCCGATTCAATATTCTTTCCAGCATGCTTGCTTGCTTCGAAACACCTGTGAAGACTGTAGTGTAGTACTGAGAACAAAACGCGGACGAACGACGAAGCAGGTGGTGTGCGGAAGGTGCCACTCCTTCAGCGCGCACCTGTACGAGAACCTAGCGCCAGAGCTCGGCCTGCTCGACGGCATGACCATGAAGAGCGACTTCTGCAACGAGCTGCTCACCGCGTGCGGCGGCCAGATCAACTTCCCGACGTACGACAACAACACCGTGGACTACTGCACAAAGCACACCGGCGGAGGGGACGACTTCTTCTGGTCGTACCCCTACGAGGAAGGTGAGTCTCTGAAAAACCTGTCGAGGCAACATCACTACTGTCACTGCAGTCGCTGTACAGCTATTCCTTCAGCTGTAGCTATAAAGCAGCTGGCATGTGATGCGAGGTTAGGTAGGCAAACACACAAGAGTGATCTTATTATCCACACAGACAGACGCCCAAGCTGTCTTGTTCACCTGAAGGTTACAGACTTGGCAACGCCTTCACAATACCGCATAAACCAATGCAGTAGAATAGAGTCGTTCTTGTACCGCAATTACACTGCCAACAGTACCCCTCCGAGGCAGGTGAGTCTGCCTGCCCTGGGGCCACCCCACCCCGCACTTTCGGTCGTCTGTCTATTTTTTTCTAGCATCTATAGGGCTACCCGGCTGACCAACAAAAAAACGTCAGTCTCAGCGCGGTTGAAAACATGTTGTGTGTTTTTCTCATTTGCATCGGCCGCGCTACCCGGCTGACCACAGAAAGAAACGTCGGTCTCAGTGCGGTTGAAACACGAAATAAATGCTTCGAATAAGAGACGTGGTCTCGGACTCCGTGGTAGGTAGGTAAGTGCGTGTGTTTTGTTCGTCCCATCTATTCGGCCACCCCTTTTCCTCGTCGACCGTGAAGCCGACATGTGTTTTTTTTCTACACAAGGTGGAGGCCAGACACCCCTTCCCCAAAATGTCGGATGCCTTCGCCCCCTTGTGGAGACCTTGACAAGGTCGAACACCTTGGGGAAGTCAAGCAAGGCCTCGAAAGGGGAGAAATCGAGGTATTTTCAAGGCCTTGGGTGTCTTCTCCAAGGTGTTGGACCTTGTCAAGGTCTTCACAAGGGGGCGAGGGCATCCCACATTTTGGGGAAGGGGGGTCGACCTCCACCTGTGTAATTTCCGTGAGGTTGCGAGCCAGCGCACAGAGGTGCGATCGATTTTCAGAGCGTAATGTCTCCACGACCAGGAGAGTGCGAGCGCCAACTGATGCTTGTCCGGAAAGCTCCCGAAGAGATCTTTCCAAAGTCGCCCTATTCGACAGTGGTAATCCTCCTGGTTATGGAAAAATTACCCTTTCTAAATCCCTCGCACCCCCGTGCGCTGACTCGCAACCTTACGGTAACCCGCCCATGGGCTGCGCGTGGGGTGCTCATGGGCACAGGGTTGTGCCCACGAGATGATTAGCAACCCACCCCCCCGTAGCGTTTGGAGATTGGGGCCGGAACACCATCACACCCATCTGCCGAAGTTTTTATAGACTATTTCTGAGGCGTTTCGCGCCTCGAGTTTGTGTACACAAGTTCGGGCCCTGATGCTACGGTGGGGGGATCACCTCATGTTACACTTTCGGGTATAGGGAGACCGGACACACTCTACGACACGAAAAACCAGTTGGCCGCGTCCTAAATCGCCCATGAGATCGCTCGCACCTGACCGTAGCATCAGTCCGAACTTAACATCACGGCAGTTGCGAAAGTGAGCCTCGAGCACTACTGTAGACAGGATCCAGTAGCTGCCATTTCGTACGCTAGGCTTCTTGAAACTGAGTACCGGTTCTTTTTGTCCAAGTTCTTACGGTTTGGATTATGTTAGGCTCTTTTTGCTGAACTGCTGAGTTCTCAGGTGGTGGCTCGTTCTGTGCATACCGTACGGGCGCGAGAGAAAAAGCGCGGTTCGGTGGTATCGCACGTACCGGCGAGATATCGCACCCGCGTGCGATCAACAAAGAGAAGCACGAAATGATGGATGTGTATATTTGCTCGATATCTGCACAGGGATCGGTGATGATATCGCACCCCCCTTGTGATAAAAAAGCAAAAACGAAATCATTCGACAATTGATCACACCCCCATGCATATGTTTGTGTTCTCTCGCACCGTTACCGTACAGCGATTTCCGACCCGCGGTTTCTCAACGAGGTATTCCCGGACCTGGGCGACAACCAACAGCCCGATGACACCGTCAGCATGAGACAGGTGGGTTGTGGCTTCTGATGACGCTTCGGGAGTCAGACACGTCAACCTTTCCGGCATTGAGTCCTCTGCCATCGGTGTTGTAATGGACGTCATGAGTGGTATTGAAGTGCCCGTGCAAATGTATGCCACCTTCATGATCTACCATGAAACCCCGGCCCTCGAATCAACCAGTAACAAAGATAGAAGTATGTGCCATCTCGTTGTTCCGATGGTGTTGATGCGTCGCCTGTGACCACGGGAATCGACCGCGTCATCAGTGTTACATCAATCGGTAAATAGTACGCAAGGACACATGAAAGGTACTGGGTAGAGAGATAGGAACGGTTTTTCAGTGTGAAGACAACAACCAACAACAACAACAACAGCCGCAATGACAGAGGCCGGAGTAAGCTCGGGGTAGATACCTGCGTCTTCTCCGTCTCAGCGGTCACACAGTTGACCGCCCCGCCCTTCCCCGCCCCCCACTTACTCCTGTTGTTGTCCCCTGTTTGCCGTGAACACCAGACTCCGGACGGCAGCCAATGGTGGTTGCTGGGCATCTCGGGACAAATCTACGCGGTGAGCGGACCTTTTTCGCTGTTGGCCAAGAGGACGTTGGAAGGCCGGAATCGATCTGGAACGCATTTAGTTTTTTGTTTCTATGTATGCTGCTGCCAACCCACCGTGCCAATTGGAACAATACGCTAATCTCCGAGATGCAGGAATACAGTATACATGACCCAATTTGGGGTGCAACCTCCTCCCCCCCCACCCCGCCCGAGGTTGCAATCGGTGCCCAACCTACCACCCGCAACCTGACCTCTGGC